GAGCGCTGCCGGCGGGAGCGGCCCTGCGCCCCCGCGGCGCGGGGGATATTCCCCCACCCTCCGTGGAGCGAGCGAGCGAGCGCCCTTGCTGAGTGACGCGGTGCCCCTAGGTTCCTGGGGGTTGCTGCGAAGCGTCCTTAGCACCTGCCCTCTCCTGACTGCGTAGCTACCGGGTGAGGAGGAATCCTCCTCAAAGCTGGGAAGGAGACTCCCCTCCTGATACCCAGCTGTTCCCCAGGCCAAATAGTGAGTGGGGGGCCTCCCTGGGAAGGAGAGGCAGCCCCCAAAACAGGAATAAGCCAGACACACCCCCTCCTCCACCTCGCCCAGGTACTCACCTAGCGATTTTAGTTATTTACGTTTGGTCAGCAGACAGCAGAGAAGGTCAGACAGGCCTGGATTTAGGTACTCTCCCGTTTCCAGTTGATGTTGACCACCGGATAAAAATATAATTTCCAGTATTGATCTGGTCATTCTTCATCCTAAAGAAGATCCCTCAGTTCTTAAACCAAGAGGGTTTTTCTCCAAATAACCTCTGCAAGGAGAAGACACGCCTCCAGGGAAGGAAAAAGAGAGATTTTGCTGATAATATCCACAGAGTTAGCAGAATTCTTTCAGAGATTTTCCTAGCCCTAAGGACGAGGTGTACCTGCAGGAGAAAGAAGAGAGACTTTCAGGTAGGGAGACTACGGATATTGCTCTCTCAAATCCGACAGTCAGTGAAGAGAAGAAAATGCTCCCTCGTGGAGACCTCCCCTTTAGTAGTTAGCTGCCAATAGAGAGACCATTTCCATCCCGGGACAAAACTAGCAGTTTTAGGGGACTGGAAGTCCCACGCAGATCATTTTAGCACTTGAGATCCTGATATAATTCACAATCCCCTGGTCCTCAAAATCTTTCTTGAAGAAGCTCTTGGAGTCACTGACAGCAACATTCACGTTCTGTGGATGGGACTCAAAGGAGTGTGAAGGGCAGCATCCTAGAAACCAGCCCTGAAGATCCATCTTCCTCCAGAAAATCTGCCAGAGTGAGTGACCACATTATGTCATCTCTGTCTTCCTTTCTGTCATTCTTTTTCCCTCTCTCTTTATTGCTTTCCATGTCATTTTCCTCTTAGTATCTGCTTTTCTATGAATCTTTCCTGTCTCCTCCTACTTACGAATCTCTCCCAACCTTCTTTTTCCACGTATCTTTTTCCATCTCATTAATAACATTTACACATTACAGGGAATTGACCTGATCCTTTCCCTCATATTTAGCTTATGGGTAACTCTCATCCTAATTAATTGTAGCAAACCTCTCCCTCCTGTCCTTTCTACTTGCCGCCTTTGGTGTATTGATTTTTGTCCTGGGCTCAGCCTTTATCATCAGTGATGTGAAATTAATTTATATTATCCAGTAGTCATTGAGAGGGATAATACTGGCAAAAAAAGAAAAAAAAATGAAGACAAAAGAAGAGTGATTTGTAGTGCCAGTGTCTGATAGTGTGTGTGTGTGTGTGTGTATATATATATATATATGTAAAATATTATATTGTAGGTGTCAGGTGTTCTCTGTGAGAGTCTTGGTATGAACGTAATTGTAGGAATAGAATCATTGTGAGATGCAGACTTGGTTGTGCTGGGAAGATGAGTGCCAGTGCTAACACTCTGACATGAAAATCATGCTGTACTCTGGGGCTGAGAGATCAATCCTGGCAAGAGTGCCCTTGAGAGTTGATCCTTTTGTACATGGGGGCTAGGGGTGAAAGTCCTAGCAACACTGGTGGAGTCTACTCTGGAAGTCAAAAAGAAGCCATTACATTGCTGCCAGTCTTCATATGTATCTTCTTCTGCGTTCAGGGTTAAAAATATCGGTCCTAATGCTAGTGTCGTGGTGAGCCAAGCTGGTTGTTTTTTGTATATGGGACAGTTAAATTCCTGCCCAAATGAGTATTCTGACACTGCTGTCGTGATTTCCTGAGAAATCAAGTCCATAGGAGACTTGACTCAAGTCAAGCCAAAGCAGATGCCTTTAGCAGAAGCATTATCCCTAAGGATATCACCCTTGAGATGTTCTTGTTTCTGTTCTCCAGTGAGACAGCCCTGAGGATATCCAAGATTAAAGGAACCTTGGCCAGGACAGGTACTGTTTGGAATTCAGTAGGATGCACAGCAGGTAATAGGGAATCCCGGAAGAAGAATCTCCTTGTTGTGTTTTGGCAGTAAGACAATACAAAAGAATCTGAGTCCCTCCTAAGGTGATTCCCCATTTTTGCAGAGATTTTGATGGTTATCACTAGCTTGAGAGGATGTTTTTTGTTGTTTTGGTTTTTTCTTTTCCTTTTTTTTGGTCCTCTGTTTTTGCTTCAAAGGAAGGCTGAACCATGAAGTCATGAAGTATATATTCATGGGGTACTGCTAGAATAGATACCTGTTGCCCTATAATTGTGCAATCAGGCTGTTTTGAGTACAGGCATGTTATCTAGGCAAGGTAAGAGATAACTGAGTCATTTTGGCCTTTGTACACTCAAGGGGGTTACTGACTTTTCATGTTCTTGAGGTTAATTTACCTTCCTCTGCCTCTTCTTCACTGTAATGACTTGACATTTTTCAAGTGCTTTTGGCTCTGGCAGATGCCAAGGCGCTTTACTGAATGTATGTGCCAGCCTTACAAAATTCTGCTCTCCCACAATGGCTATCTTTGTATGTTTAAAAGGTTTTATCCTTTATTATTGGGATAAAGAGCAATATTTGTGTTTTCTGCCTGAGCTTTCAGCGCTCATGACAGACCTGCAAGGCTGAAAGTCATGCTGTAGTGTAATTATTATTTATTTGTTAATTACTTGCTGGGTATTCAGTGCTGACTCAAACACACAAAATTAAGGCAGTCTCTGCTCTGAAGATCTTGTAATCTACAAGACATCTCTGCAAAAGTTGGGGCATATTGGTAAGTTCAAGGAGGGGAATCATTTTTACAGGGCATGGCTCTTCAGTGTGATTATGTTGGTATTTAAATCAAAGGCTAAAATACACCTTCCTCCGAGGTAGAATGCTGCAGCTGTTCTGCACCATTTATTTAATATAAAAGTATTCATAAAAGGGAAAATATTATCCATCTTCATAAAAGGGCAAAGTACTTTTATAGGTACGTTTTACTGCAAATGCTGCGTCTTTAAAAAATTATGTCAATACTGTTAAATCAGAATGCCTAAAATTGGATTTCTAAACCCAAATTTAGGTACCTGAATAAATAGCCAAATTCTCCAAGTGTTCAAGAACTTTGAGGTGCCTTCAATAGAAGGTACAAAGTCTTAAGCAATTGGATATGCAATGCTTAATTGTATATGTATGGATTGGTAAATTTAAACTTGTGCATTCATGCTTTTAAAATTGAAGCAGTCTGATCCTTTCCTATGTGCGCTCCATTCCCAGTGAAGTTTGAGAACTGGGAGCAAGGCTCTTCGCAGGTCAAGTTCATTAAATAAAAATTCTTATTAAATAAAATTAAATGCGAAGGTCTAAAGACTTATGGGAAAATTATTACTAAAGGATCGGGAGGTTATATTAATGGTATATTAATATTTAATAACATTAGATTAATGTTTAAGTATGTGTTCTGTAAATTCCTGGCATTTTATCCTGAAATCTGGTTCTGCAGACAGTGTCTAGGTCAAAATAAGGAGTCAGACGATTTAGAATGAAGTAGAATAATCTGTTTAGGGAGTCTTAATGTCATGTTGCAGCCCTGGATGTGTCTGGGAGTCCTGTAATGCTTTTTTTTTTTTCTGCAAGATATGGCTGAATTCTGGTATCTCCAGAGAAGATATCCTAGACTCATCTGTTCTGTGGAGTTTTTTTCCTTGCCCCAAAGATGCAGGTGTCAATTTGTACTTGGTTTCATCATCCTTGTTCCCTTAAACTTCAGCTGAACTTCATGTAGTGAAAGGTCCAGCCTCCATCGGGATTTAGAGTTTTGTCCCTTTGCTTCAGCAGTCAAGGTGATACAGTTAATGGCAGTTATGTTACATTACCATCTTAGTCCCTCACTGTCATTTTAGCCCTCAAGAGCAGGACTAAGATGATTCTTATTTTACCTTGCTCTCAGGCAGGAATTAGTTCTGTTCATTAGCAACCGAAAGATGCTTTCAGACTTGTTTTTCCGTTTACTGCTTCAGACCTTGGGATAGAATTGTAACTGATGACTTTCAGGCAGAACCCTGTATCTTGCAGTATGCTGTTTAAAAATTTGTATCTGTACTGTGCTTTGGAATTGAAACTTTAGTTAAGGGGTATTGTTTCTAGTCTTCTTTGGCTCTAAAAATATGAGTAGCGCCCAGATTAGCAGACAGCCTAAAATGGTATCTCTAAGACATGTAAACTCTCCACTTGTGTTAACTCTGAAACATAAAGAAAAGCATGTAAATCTCTGTATTGCTGATTATTGCACTTCCTTATTTTAACAGGAATATCTCATTGATGTGTTTATTCCCCCCAAGCTTGTTGTTTTTGTAGCAGTTGGTATTGCTGCTTGCTACCTGCTCTGCAGTTTCCTCCTTCCTTCTAAAGGATGTAAGATGAACATAAAAATCCACGGTGTACTTCCACCATCCCCATGCTTTTTAAAAGCAATCTGTGTGGATGTGTTACTGAGCGAGACAGCCCCTAGCCGTGTGTTTTCACACTTAATTAATTGTAAAATTTTCATACTAAGCTTGAAATGAAACGTATGCAAAATCTTGAGAGTGTTTCAAAATTCAGAGACCTTCGCAGCAGAGTTCAGAATGAATTTACACCCCTAGCATGAGCCTTCAGGTAGGTGTCTTAAAGGCAGAAGACGCAGCATTCCAGTGGTGTTGCCAGTTCCTGACCTTTGTCAGCCCCTTCCCGAATCCCATCCCTGGCTTCCTAACATTGTGTCATAGTCAGGTTTTCCTCCTGCACCTTTAAGGCTCAGCGTGTTTCCACCCTGCCTACGTCTTTACTCTCATTTCCTCCTACACCCCAGTGCTCCTCCCAAGTCTCTGAGTACTGCCCTTTGCATCTCGTTTTCCTTTGGCATTCTGTCCTCGTGTCCTATAAAGCCTAAAACACTTGTTTTATCCTCATAAGGCAAGCATTCCCCATCTCCTCCCTAAGATTATTTTGTGTTGGGAATCCTTTCTCGTGGCATTTCGCAGGCCTCCTTGTTATTACCACACCTGCATTTTGACCCCTCTTTTGGCTTTCATTATATTGTATTATTGTAGAGACCCAGGATTTTTTTTTGTTTGTTTGAGGTTGTATCAAGAACCCTGTTCTTTTGTAAAACTGTATAATAAATACAATTTTGTTCCTCTGAAAATATCTGTTTCTTCTAGGCTGATAATGGCACTGGCACTTTGTCTCCATAATCCGTCTGACTCATTCTCCTACTCTTCCTTTTCTGCTGTCCCTTTCCCTTCCTTAGGAATAACCAGATTTGAGTTGTGAATTAGAATGAAAAGCTCCTGCGTTGCGTTCTCTAGTTCCTTCTAGCAGTTCAGGAATTTGCTTTTGAAGTGAGGTGCTCAATTTGTACAAGGACCAGTAACCCTTTCCCACTCCTTCTAAACTAGTCAGTTTACCTAATGTGAAATCACACTAGATCGAGTAACTACAAAGCGTTAGAGGATGTTTCAGGGACAGGGGGGACATGAGGATTTTATATCTCCAGATTTTTGTTCTTTTTTTATATATATTCTTAAAAATTGAACTGTTAATGTTCTTTGCCTTGTGAGACTCTGTGGCTGATATAGGAGAAATATCATATGATTACGGTTAAAATTAAAATCTGAATAATTGAAAAAGAATTGAAGCTTTTCATGGTCATGAAGTAAGGGAGCAACAGTTTCCAAATTCTC